TTGGCTTGGGTCATGATCTCATGGTTTGTGAGTTCAAGCCCCACTTCAGACACTCTGTTGTCTGTGAGGAGTCTGCTTTGGATCCTGTGTCCCTACCGCCCCTCCCCCTGCCATCCCTCTCTGGCTCACACTCTCAAAAATAAATAAACATTTATTAAAAAAATAAAACTGGGGGGTATGGGGAGAAGGATTAATGGGCCAAGGAGAGGAGATAATGGGATCTAGAACACAAGTGGAGCATATAACTTTGTAGGATGAGAGACACGGTATATTGTGTCTCTCTTGTTCTTGTTGTTCTTGCAGTATTAAGTATGTAGGGAGAGCCGTGCTCCTTTCTCTGAGCTAAGAAGGAAAAATATCATGGTAGTTGGCAATGTAGATACATTCACTGCTGGAGGGTAAGACATTGAAGCAGTTCTTGCCCGTAGAGGAGGTGGAGGGTGGAAGGAGGAGAGTGCTGCCCAACAGGTTTGTGTGTAGGGCCTTGGAGAACAGGGTTGGGAGATAGACAGGGGCAGTAACTTTTCAAGACCGGAGGTGTGCATGGCACTCACCTTCACTGGTTTTGTGAGAGAGAGAGTGTGTGTGTGTGTGTGTGTGTGTTTTACCACATTCAACAGCCTTGGTATACAAATAGAGAAAACCTTGTATGGGTCTAGGTTCAGTGAGGAGACAGGAGAAGGGACAGAGACTTGAGAGGGCAGGCCAGAGTCCCACATCATTAATATGACAGTCAGGAAGGCATGTGAGAAAATTCCCATAATAGTCCAGCTTTAGTTCTTGAAAACTTCTGGACTGAATGGTAACTAACAGCTCTAATTATCTACACAAACAAACTCAGCCCTAAGGGAGGGGAGATAGCAGTAATCAATGATTAAGACAATTCTTACCTTGAAAATAGCAAATAGGTCTTTTGTTGGAGTTCAGTAAAACATTTTCCCTGTCTGAAGAGTCATCTTGTCCCAGACGAAAATATTGTCATGGCTTTTAAACTGTTCAATTTATTACTGTGATGAGAACTGACAAAGAAGCTTGGGGTGGGGATGAGGAGTAGGAAAGCCTCTGAAGCTTGGCAACCTGCCCTCCCTTAATCCCCTTTCCATCCTATGCATCTTGGTCCTGACTATACTTTTCATGCAATTAGAGTATCTCAGCATTTTCTAAAAAGTACACACTCAGTTTTAAGTAAAAATATCACATAAAGTGTATATAGCAATATCCAGCTAAAGATTGTAGAGGGAATCATTATTTCTCTGATAAGCTCTCATTGAGCATGGCCTGCATTTATTTATTTGTTTTTTCCTCTTATTCATCGATATATATACATATATATAGTTTTTTCTGATTATAAAAACAATACCAGTTTATTAGGACTTTTGGCTGCAAGAAACCTGATTCTGGCTGGCTTTAATATTAAGGACTATTTGGGGCACCTGGGTGGCTCAGTCAGTTAGGCATCTGACTCTTGATCTCAGCTCAGATCTTGATCTCAGGGTCATGAGTTGCAGCCCTGTGTTGGGCTCTGTGCTGGGTGTGAAGCTTACTTAAAAAAAAAATTCACATGGCTCAGCCCCAAGTATCTGGTGATTCTTGGATTAGGCTGCTTGGGTCAATCAGCTGGTCTTTAAAAAAAAAAATCCAGTATAATTAACATACATTGTTATATTAGTATCAAGTGAAGAATATAGTGATTCACCAATTCTGTGCATTATTCAGTACTCATCCCAGTAAGTGTTCTCTTAATCCCCTTCACTTATTTCATTCATCCCCCTCCCCCCCTCCCCAGCTCTCTTCTGGTAACCACCAGTTTGTCCTCTATATTTAAGTGTCTGTTTTTTTTGCTTGTTTTTTTCTTTCTTTGTTTTGTTTCTTAAATTTCACATATGAGTGTATTCATAGGGTTTTTGTCTTTCTCTGACTGACTTTCACTTAGCATTATACCTTCTGGATCCATCTATGTTGTTGCAAATGGCAAGATTTCATTCTTCCTATGGCTGAGTAATATTCCATTACACACACACACACACACACACACACACACACACACGCATACACACCATCTCTTCTTTCTTCATTTTTCTTTATTTGGACACTTGGGTTGCTTCTATATGTTGGCTATTGTAAATAATGCTATAGTAAACATAATAGTGGTGCATATATTTTCTCACATTAGTGTTTTCATTTTCTTTAGGTGAATACCCAATAGTGCAATTACTGGATCATATGGTAATTCCATTTTTAACTTTTTGAGGAAACCTCCTTACTGTTTTCCACAGTGGCTGCACCAGTTTGCATTCCTACCAACAGTGCAAAAGGGTTCCTTTTTGTCCACATCCTTGCCAATGCTTGTTGTCTCTTCTGTTATTGATTTTCGCCATTCTGACAGGTATGAGGGCATATCTCATCATGGTTTTGATTTGCATTTCCCTGATAATGAGTGATGTTGAGGATCTTTTTCATGTGTCTGTTGACCATCTGTATGCCTTCTTTGGAAAAATGTCTGTTCTAACCCTTTATTAGATTTGTCATTTGCAAATATCTCCTCCCATTCTGTAGGTTGTCCTTTTGTTTTATTGATTGTTTTCCTTTGCTGTGCAGAAGTTTTTTATTTTGATATATTCCCAGTTGTTTACATGCGCTTTTGTTTACCTTACCTTGGGAGATGTATCTAGAAGAATGTTGCTATGGCCAATTTAAGAGGAATTACTGCCTGTGCTCTCTTTTAGAATTTTGATGGCTTCCTGTCTTACGTTTAGATCTTTCATCCATTTTGAGTTTATTTTTGTGTGTGGTGTAAGAAGATTCATTCTTTTGCATGTAGCTGTCCAGTTTTCCCAGCATCATTTGTTGAAGAGACTTTTTCCCATTGCATATTCTTGCCATCTTTGTCATAGATTAATTGGCCAAGTAATCGTGGGTTTATCTCTGGGCTCTCCGTTCTGTTCTGTTGATCTGTGTGTCTATTTTTGTGCTAGTACCATACTGTTTTGATTACTTTGTTTGCAGTCTATCTTGAAATCTGGGATTGTGCTATCTCCAGTTTTGTTCTTTTTTTTTCAAGATTGCATTGGCTATTCAGCATCTTTTGTGGTTCCGTACAAATTTTAGGATTATTTCTTCTAGTTCTGTGAAAATACTGTTGGTATTTGATAGGGATTGCATTAAATCCATAGACTGCTTTGGGTAGTATGAACCTTTTAACAATATTTGTTCTCCCAATCCATGAGCATGGAGTATCTTTCCATGTGTTTGTGTGGACTTCGGTTTCTTTCATCAGTGTTTTATAGTTTTCAGAGTACATCTTTCACCTCCCTGGTTAAGTTTATTTCTAAGTATTTTTATTATTTTTGGTGCAATTATAAATGGGATTGTTTTCCTAATTTCTCTTTCTGCTGCTTCATTGTTAGTGTATAGAAATGCAATGGATATCTGTCTATTGATTTTGTATCCTGACATTGGCTGCTCTTGAATAGCTGGGGTGGCTACCCAAGGAACAAGAGTAAGAGTGGAAAGGAAGAGAGGAAAAGGGTAGCAAGGAGAAGAGGGGGTGTTGTGAGCATGCGTTAATGGTTTGTTATATCCTTACAACAACTTGAAAAGAGAGGGAGGCTGGAATAT